CCAAAAACCTTACCTGACGTAACGCGAGGATTGCTTAGGAGAAGCGACAGACTCGCCGAGAGAGACGTCAACAATATGGATAAACCAATGTGATATGTTAAAGTTTGTAAGGATGTACTAAAATTAGTACAGTTCTAAGATATATGATGTCAAGCAAAAAAGGCAATAGTAATTTTTTTATAAAGGTCAAATTATTTTATTAATAAAAAAAAAGTTTAATCTTGTAATTTCAAGAGGAATTAAAGACTATTAATATATATATTTTTAATATATGATTTGAGTATATAATAATTATATATTATTTGAGTTATAAAAAAAATACTATCTTTATCAGAACAGTTGACTATATATGTTTTCATAGAAAGAAATGTTCTGGCAAAGAGAAGTAATTAAAGATAAATAAGAAAAATAGAAAATATTTTAAAACAAGAATAGTATAAAAAGCATAGTGCTTTGAAATAATAGATTAATAATACAAAGATTATTCTATACTATTTAATTTAATAAATAATAGATCTGAAATCTCAAACAAAGTTTTAAAAATTCTTTACAAAATAAAAATTAGAGATAGCCTGTACTTCTTTCTTTACTGGAGTCAAATAAAAAAACACTATAGCCTTAAACAACAATAATGAAATAACAATTAATAATAATAACAATTTAATGTTTCAAAAAATTTTAAATTTACTAGAATTAAATAGTAACAACACTAACAAACTAATTTTTACTCCAGCCATAACATTATTATTCTAAATGGGTATTAACTATTCAGTACTAGTTCTATTGAGCCCACCTTCTTGGTGTAAGTCAATAAAACTAGTTTAAGTCACAATAGGGTATAGTTAATTTGTATTTTACAAAGACTTTTAATGTAATGGCAGCAAACAATTGTTTAATAAAGTTTTGCATGCCCATTTGTAATAATAATAATAATAATAATAATAATAATAATAATAATAATAATAAACTAATATAATGATGTAATAATAATAATTTATTCTAATATAAATAATTAAATGATATATTAATTTAATAATATGATTAATGACATAATAATTTTATTATGATTAATAATTAAATTTAATGATATAATTCATATAATTTAAATTTAATGGCATAATTTTTATTTAATTTATATATTTACAATATAATTTATTTAGTATCGAATGACATAATTTTTTTTAAAAAAATGGAAAAATTCAAATCAAGCTTAAAATTAGACTCTATATTTAATTTATAATAATTAAGCTATTGATTTAATTAAAATTTAATAATGTAATCTATTTAATAATATAATTAAAATAAAAACTAAAACCCGAAAAAAAAAATCCGAAAAAAAAACCAAAACCAGAAAACCCCCCAAAAAATATTACATGAAAAATAAACCCAAAAAAGCTTAAATTTAAACTTTATATTTTATTTCCCGCATACAGTGTATTATTTCAATTTCATCACTCGCATATCACCATTCCATTTCAGTATACTGTATTGGACTTCGTCTTCTCAGATTTTATAGTTACACAGAATCGCGCTTAATAAAGGTGTCGACCCTTGTTTCAAGGGTCGATCAGTGTATCATGCATAAGACGTAACATTATATTTGCATCGCAATTGCTTTTATTATATTTATAAACTGTTGTAATAATGGATTTTATCAAAAGAATGATTAAATCTTCATTAGGTGATTATTAACTAGTTGAGATTCTTCAAGGTACTTTAATGATCTGAGTTATAATCTTTACTTAAACTACGATTACAGACAGTAAGCATATTTTCATTGATATTTGTTGAGTAAATTCATATCATAGGTTGCTTAATTGATCTGAGTTATATTCTTTACTTTTAGGGAGTAAGCATATTTTCATTAATATTTGTTGAGTAATTCATATCATAGGTTGCTTAATTGATTTGAGTTATATTCTTTACTTTTAGGGAGTAAGCATATTTTCATTAATATTTGTTGAGTAAATTTATATAATAGGTGGTCAAATTGATCAGAGTTATATTCTTTATTTTACCTACGATTACAGTCGGTAATCATATTTTCATTAATACTTGCTGAGTAAATTCATATTGTAGGGAGTTTAATTGATCTGTGTTATATCTTTACTTTAACTACAATTATAGTCGGTAAGCATATTTTCATTAATATTTGTTGAGTGAATTCATATCATATGTGGTTTAATTGATCTGAGTTATATTCTTTACTTTAACTACAATTACAGACAGTAATCATATTTTCATTAATATTTGTTAAGTAAATTCATATCCTATGTAGTTTAATTGATCTGAGTTATATTCTTTAACTACGATTACAGTCGGTAAGCATATTTTCATTAATATTTAATTGTCATTGGTGATTTAATTTATCTGAGTATATTCTTTGCTTTTAGAGAGTAAGAATATTTTCATTAGAATTTGTTGAGTAAATTAATATCTAGGTGGTTTAATTGATCTGAGTTACATTCTTTACTTTTAGTGTGTAAGCATATTTTCATTAATATTTGCTGAGTAAATTCATATTATAGGTAGAATGATTTATCTGAGTTATATTCCTTATTTTAACTACAATTACAGTTGGTGAGCATATTTTCATCAATATTTGTTGAGTAAATCCATATCATAGGTGGTTTAATTGATCTGAGTCATATTCTTAACTTTAACTACGATTACAGTCGGTAAGCATATTTTCATTAATATTTGTTGAGTAAATTCGTATAATATGTGGTTTAATTGATCTGAGTTATATTATTTAACTACGATTACAGACTGTAAGCATATTTTCATTAATATTTGTTGAGAAAATTCATATCATATGTGGTTTAATTGATCGGGGTTATATTCTTTACTTTAAATACGATTACAGCTTGTAAGCATATTTTCATTAATATTTGTTGAATAAATACATGTTCTATGTGTTTTAATTGATCTGAGTTATATTCTTTATTATAACTACAATTACAGTCGGTAAGCATATTTTCGTTAATATTTATTAAGTAAATTTATATTAAAGGTGTTTTAATTGATCTGATTTGTATTTTTTACTTTTAGGGAGTAAGCATATTTTCATTAATTTTTATTAAGTAAATTCATATAATAGATATTTTAATTGATCTGATATGTATTCTTTACTTTAACTACGATTAAGCTTGTAAGTATATTTTCATTATGATTGTTGAGTAAATTCATATCATATGTGGTTAATTGATCTGAGTTATATTCTTTACTTCGATTAAGCTTGTAAGCATATTTTCATTAATAATTGTTAAGTAAATTCATATCCTATGCGGTTTAATTGATCCGAGTTATATTCTTTACTTTAATTACAATTAAGCTCGTAAGCATATTTTTATTAATATTTGTTGAGTAAATTCATATCATATGTGGTTTAATTGATCTGAGTTATATTATTTGCTTTTAGGGAGTAAGCATATTTTCATTAATATTTGTTGAGTAATTTCATATCTAGGTGGTTTAATTGATCTGAGTTATATTCTTTACTTTAACTACGATTACAGATGGTGAGCATATTTTCATTAATATTGTTGAGTAAATTCATATCATAGGTGTTTTAATTGATCTGTGTTATATTCTTTATTTTAATCTATTACAGACTGTAAGCATATTTTCATTAATATTTGTTGAGTAAATTCACATCAAAGGTGGTTTAATTGATCTGAGTTATATTCTTTACTATAACTACGATTTCAGACGGTAATCATATTTTCATTAATATTTTTTTGAGTAAATTCATATTCTACGTGGTTTAATTGATCCAAGTTGTATTATTTAACTACGATTACAGTCGGTAAGCATATTTTTATTAATATTGTTGAGTAAATTTATATCCTATGTGGTTTAATTGATCTGAGTTATATTTTTAACTTTTAGTGTGTAAGCATGTTTTCATTAATAATTGTTGAGTAAATTCATATCATATGTGGTATAATGATCTGAGTTATATTCTTTACTTTAACTACGATTATAGACGGTAAGCCTATTTTCATTAATATTTGTTTAGTAAATTCATATTATAGGTGTTTTAATTGATCTGAGTTATATTCTTTATTTTAACTACGATTACAGGTGGTAAGCATATTTTTATTAATATCAGTTGAGTAAATTTATATCATAGGTGGTTTAATTGATCTGAGTTATATTCTTTACGTTAACTACAATTACAGGCGGTAAGGAAATTTTCATTAATATTTATTGAGTAAATTTATATCATACAGTAGGTGGTTTAATTGATCTGAGTTATATTCTTTAATCTAACTACGATTACAGACTGCAAGCATATTTTCATTCATATTTGTTGAGTAAATTCATATAATAGGTGGTTTATTGATCTGAGATATATTCTTTATTTTAACTACGATTACAGACGGTAAGCATACAGTAGCCGTCATAAAAAACGCACCATGCATGTATGCTAATCAAAATGGTTATTATTTCTACAATAAAGTATTGAATATTCTTAATAATTATATTATATTATTGATGACTATAAGTAGTAAATAATTAAATATATATTAACTATATTTGCTTAATAATAAGCGAGAATTGTTAAATTATTTTGAAAAACAATGGTGCATTTTTTTTAACTTTTTTTAAATATAAGATCAGATTTAATTTTTTGTGTCATTAGATTCTTCTAAATCTCAAACTTTATAAATAAAAATAAACATTCAAAATTATATTTTTTATTGATTAAAAAAATGCCGCAATTAACTATTGAACAAAAAGCTCAAACCGTAATCTTAATGGAAGAAGGATATTCACTACGTGCAATTGGAAACCATCTAGGTGTACATCATTCTACTATTCTCCGATTAAAAAAAAAGATTGAAAAAACAGGCAGCATTAAAAGAAAACTAGGATCTGGTCGACCTCGCAAGTTATCCAAACGAGAAGAGCGTGAATGTGTGAGAAAAATCTTACGTGGTGAATGTTCAACGGCAATTTCTGTTCAAAAAAAATTATTTATTGATAATGGTATAAAAATAAGTCATAGCACAGTACTTCAAATACTAAAGGAATATGGATTAGTGGCTAGAATTAAAAAAAAAAACCTTTTCTTACAAAAAAACATTGTCAATTAAG